GCCATTTCCGAAAGTCCATTTGATTGCATTGTCAGTTCAATATCCAACACTCTTAATTTTTTTTTATTGTAAAATTTCTCTCTTCATGGGCCATATCTATGTTGTTTTTTTTTATTGAATCCTAATTCGTCATCACGATTCATGTTTGTTTATAAATGCAAGTGTTATTGACAACTGTCCCAGACCCTCATTATTTATATGGCCCAACTTTTCTTCGGCGTACACCGGCACGGTATTAGACTAGGATAACAGTCCCGAAACTCGTGGAGTTGAAAAACATTAGTCTTATATACCGCCTCTACTTAATTATGGATGTAGGTCGGAAAAATGTAAAATTTGGCAATTTGACTTATACTCAACATCGACTTATACCCTGTATGGTTATGTGATGATGCCCCCTCTTCCAGACAAGACATAGGCTATAACTGTTTCAAATGACAAGTGCTAAATGAAGTATTTATGTGGTCTTTGGTGAAAGAAATGAAATGAAATGAAATGGGGTTTAACGTCCTACTGTTCTGCTCCTAACCTGGGCTAATGAAGACGAGCATATGCCATACAGTGTGCTATGAGGGAAATTTTGCCTGGGCAGCGGGGCTACGGCCTACTCTTATATCGAATTCCAACTGCCAAGGGATCTTTTACGTGCACGCCAATGTCTACACGGGACCTCAGTTTTTCGTCCCATAACGACTAGACAGCTGTCCTTGTCAGTCCCTCCGTCCTGCATCACTGACAAGGGAAACCACGCCGGAAAATCAGGATGAACTTACAGGGATCGAACACCCGATCTCCAGGCTAGAGAGCCAGCGTCTTACCCACTTAGCCACTTGATCCCCCCCCCTTTGGTGAAAGAGAGAGAGAGAGAAATGGGGTTTACCGTCCACTCGACACAAACTAGGTCATTTCGGGACTAACATATGGTTTAATGTTTTATTTACATAATTCGCTTGCGCGTAGGGGTCTTTAGGAGTGGGAGGAAACCGGAGGACCCGGAGAAAACCCATGAAGTTGGACAGGCGACCCTACTCCTTGCCACGTACAACCGGGGATTCGAAACCACGCCAGTCGACTCAATGACAGACTTTATGATACAGCGCGCGCACGCTAACCATTCAGCCATCCACCCCCCCCACCCTCCCTTTGGTGAAAGAAAACAGAGCTGTGGCTAGTGAAATGAAAGTTTAACGTCCTATTGTTTTGCTCTGAACTGGGCTAATGAAGATGGGCATACGCCATACAGTGTGCTATGTGGGAAATTTTGCCCGGACAGTGGCACTACGGCCTTCTCTTATATCGAATTCTAACTTCAAGGGCTCTTGTACGTGCACGCCAATGTGTACATGGGACCTCATTTTTTTGTCCTATTTTAATGACTAGACAGCTGTCTTGTCTAGCCCTCTGTCCTGCATCACTGACAAGGGAGAACCATGCCGGAAAATCTGGAATAACTTTCTCGGCCAATGCAGGGATCGAACACCCGACCTCCAGACTAGATAGCCAGTGTCTTACCGACTTAACCAACGTGATCCCCGTTGTGGCTACAATTCCTGGATTTGAAGGTCAGGTATGATATGAAACGAATATTTTAAACCGGTTCACCAATGCAACCAATCCGTGACGGGTTAACTGATAGAGGGTTACATCCTTGATATAAATATAATTGTCGCGGGTTTTAAAAATAGAAATATATATATAAAGGTAGCTCAAAATTCATCTCTACATGTACATAGGCCAAGGGGGGATCATGTGGCTAAGTGGGTAAGACGCTGACTCGCTAGCCTTGAGGTCGGGTGTTCGATCCCTGCATTGGCCGAGAAAGTTCATCCTGATTTTCCGGTGTGGTTTCCCATTGTCAGTGATGCAGGATGGAGGGCCTGACGAGGACAGCTGTCTAGTCGTTTGGATGGGACAAAAAAAAACCAAGGTCCAGTGTACACATTGGCATGCACATAAAAGATCCCCTGGCAGTTGGAATTCGATACAAGAGTAGGCCATAGCGTTGCTGCCCGGGCAAAATTTCCCTTATAGCACACTGTATGGCGTAACCTTTTGCGTCTCTTCAAAATATTGCAAATCTTTTGTCATGGATCAACCATTGCAAATATCCGTGTTACAATTATATTTGAAATGTGTTAAACCAATTCTGCAACACATGTAATATTGGTGTAGTATATATCTTTGTTTATACACCCACATATCAATTTTGGCCCTGTTTGTCCGTACACTGGGTGTGAAATGTGAATCATTCCGATTGTGAGAGGACAAGCATTATCAATATACAGCTTTTCAGGACTTTGCCTTCCTTGGTTAATTCTCCCTTTTTCAAATGCAATAGATGCTGTGTTTATTCTTAATTGATCTTTTTCAAATTTGTGTTACACACTGGAATCATGAGAGGACGAAACCTATCAATATTCAGCATTCCACAACATTCCATTCCAGTGTCGGCCGAGAAAGTTCTTCGTGATTTCCAGACTTGTTTTCCTCCCCTTGTCAGAGGTGCAGGACAGAGGGCCTGACAAGGAGGGACAGCTGTCTAGTCGTTTGGATGGTACGAATGACCGAGGTCCTGTGCACACATTGGTGTGCACGTGAAAGATCCCTTGGCAGTTTGAATTCGATATAAGAGTAGGCTTTAGCGCCGCTGTCTGGATAAAATGCCATAATAGGACACTGTATAGCATATTTCCATGTCATTAGCCCTGTCGGAATAGGACATTAAACCCCATTTCATTTCACTCATTCCAAAGTTAACTCCTATTCCATCAATACCTTGAGCAAATAAGATAGAGGCTATAGGTTTTGGCCCAATTTGGTCAATATCCCAGTTTTTTCTTTCTTATATGCATATCAACACTTTCATAGCGCTAATGTAGACCTTTTTCTTGAACATTTTCCCTTGTCAGTGATGCCGGACAGAGGACCTGACATGGATGGCTGACTAGTCATACGGAAGGGACCAAAAAAACAAGGCTGTAAACTCAAGTGTGTGTGTGTGAAAGATCGCTTGGCAGTTGGAATTTTATATCAGAGTACGCCATAGCTCTGCACACTGTGTGGCATATGCCCGTCTTCATTTCTCAAACAGCTGTGGATAAAAACTGTTAATATTTAAATGTGTATTTTGTATTTTATAACATTATATTTTTGTCTTTTAAATAAAGTATATGTATACATACTTGTAGTATATTTTGTCATATTATTCTGCTAGATTTTTAACTTTTCTGTGCAATACATTTAGAATTCTGACTGGTTATGGGTAGATAGAGAGCAATGGGGTAAAACATCCAATAGACATAAACTGTCCTTTGGGACTAAGTGATTCAATTCAAGTTGAATAATTCATCCGCACCAGGAATCTTTAGTAGTAGGAGGACCCAGAGAAAACCCATGTTCAAGTTGGGTGTGGAAACAAACCACTTGACTCAATGACAGACCTTATGATCTAAAGCGCACACGTTGGACCACTCAACTTTTAGCCTCACCCACGGGTCAGGAAAATTTGATTATTGATTGAATGTACTTCCCATTTACTGCCGCAAATAATGAATAATTTTGAAGGTTTTAATGGTTGGTTATATTTTCGTAACTTTGGTCATCAAAATTTAACATTAGAATTGCATCCGTAAATGATGTTAATTTAATGTTAGATTTACGTTATAATGGTCGGTTAGATATCCATCATTTTGCTCATCCTTTTAACGACAATTTAACGTCAGGAAATGACGTTAATCTAGCGTAAAGTTTACATCATTTTTACCTTATATTTACATCATTTTCTGACGTAAATCTAACGTAAAGTTTACGTCATTTTCTGACGTAAATCTAACGAAAATGACGTAAACTTTACGCAAATTTTACGTTAGATTTACGTCATTTCCTGACGTAAAATTATCGTTAAAAAGATGAGCAAAATGATGGTAAACTGACTGACCATTTTTACGTAAATGTAACGTAAAATTAACATCATATTGTTATGTGGGGACTTCTCTATTGGTCTGGGTGGTCTTGGGCGGAGTAGTCCTTGGTCTGGGTTGTCATGCATTTAGGAGAATATCTTCATCAGCTTGCATTTGCAAGAACATGGGGAAAATGTTAAGATATGATCCGATCCCCTTAAACAAATTAACCAGACCTATTATTTTATTCTCTTTCGCTTTTTTTTTTTTTTTTTTTTTTTGCTGCTTGTTTCTAAACATCACTTTTATCAACAATTTAGGAATCGTGATAATGTTTCATACACAGTTTTGTTAACGTTGGTAACGTGGAATGTGATAAGTAGTAGCCTCTACCATACCCCAGTCCAGTGAGAGTTTTGTCTGCACATTCCTGCCTGGAGTTCTGATTCAGCTTTGTCCAGCAAATCGGCATTTGTCTCCGACACATTTCCATCTAATTTGATCCACTGGTTAGCACATACCTTAAATTTTTCCAAGCTTGTCCCAGTGAACGATTTTAGCTCAGTGTTTTAACAAAATGTACACGAGCTATGCAGTTTTACTTTAGCTATCCTTCCGCCATGTACCTTTAATAACAAAACGTAAACAAAGAGCAGGTGACCTTTCACCACATGACCTGTTGAACTTTTCGTCGTGTATGTTTGATTTGCCCAATTATGTCACGTGATCTGTTTAAACCGAGTCACCGCGAAATTCAAATACCATTGCACATTGACAAGTAAGCCCATATCTAATTTATGTTTTCTATCAAACGTCAAAGAATTGATAAAAGAAAAGTTGTGTGACAATACAAAGTAATACTAGAAGAATTAGATGATGTAGTTTTTTTTTTCCACCCGAAAATGGTCGGGACGGAGAAACAGAAGCAAGCTAGCTAGAAATTTCATACACGGCCTATTATATATTCTCCCCAGTCCGGTATAGTTCGGTATAGCTAAGTAAGCAAATGTAGATAGCACCTCTATGGTTATTCGACTAAATTGTATAGAGTGGTGGCGTACGGGGATTTATAAAGGGAGACAATCAATACTAACTTACCGACTTTGCTATAAGGCGGCAGACCACCATTAATTTACCCATTGACTTCAATGTTAATTCTGGCCTCTTTGCCCACCTCCAACTTTTCCCAAAATTTTCGTTGGGCTGAATGCTTTTCACTACAGACAGAGGAACAAATGGTCATGTCTTTGCACTAAAATTTAAGAAGCATACTACAAAAAACGTGTAACTAGTTGTCGTACATATCACCGCAACCAACCTGATATCTCTGTTATCCTTCCGCCTCAAAATCATGAATATTTACCAAAACCTGGCAGAAAATATTAATTCAAACCCCTCTTCGTCCATTCTAGACTAAAAAAAATCAACAAAAAATGGGCATGCAAAAGGGGAGAAAAAAGACAGAGAGAGAATTGCTATAAATAGACGAACTATAATTTGAAATTTAATGGTGCTCTGCCTCCATAAAAACACTTCGTTGTAGTTCGCAACCTCTTGAATATAATTAGACTATAACCAGGAGTGTAAAGACATAAAACCTATACATGTAATTATTCAAATAGTATAAATGAATAATGCTCCCATATAAATGAAATGAAATGGGGTTTGACGTCCTACTGTTCTGCTCCTATACTGGGCTAATGAAGACGGGCATACGCCATACAGTGTGCTATGAGGGAAATTTTGCCCGGGCAGCGGCACTATCGCCTACTCTTATATCGAATTCCAACTGCCAAGGGATCTTTTACGTGCATTCCAATGTATACACGGGACCTCGGTTTTTCGTCTAATCCGAAGGACTAGACAGCTGTCCTTGTCAGGCCCTCCGTTCTGCACCACTGACAAGGGGAAACCACGTCGGAAAATCCAGATGAACTTTCTCGGCCAATGCAGGGAACGAACACCCGACCTCCAGGCTAGCGAGCCAGCGTCTTAACCATCTAGCTTCCGTGGCTCCGCTCCCATATAAGTTGTAATAATAGGGTAAGGGTAATAATCTTCTTGCATTCTTCCACTCAGTGATTAATCAGCTATTTCTGCTTGCGAGGTAAATGTATTTTAGAAAGTGCGTGTTAAGTGTTATGAGTAATGTGTGCATCTATATGTAAGGTATATTGAATACTATTGATGGTGTTGGCATGTGTTGTTTTGATAACTGAACTATTTACAGGAAATATGTGGGATAGGCTACCTCGGCCTACCACTTTTGCACTAATACCGACTTTGATGCATCATCAGTATTCAATTATTATATATCAACGTATGTGATTTCCAAAATTTGTTATACAAACTATCTAAAGTTCATTATTCCGTAGATGACCTAGATGTCCTAATATATACTAACAATATATTAATAATACAGCCCGCTCCGGGCCGATGCGATTAAGCCGGAAGTAAATTTAAGTTATTGTGTGATCAGTACCATTATTTATTTAACTAATTTACATAATATAACTGAATCTGTTAACTAAAAATAGTTGCTTAACGGATGTATAACGAAATTTTGGGAGTGAATGTCTGACATATATATGTTCATACATATCGGATATCCTTTATTTTTAATTTTGTCGTTAACGTTCCTTATCTTGGTGTACCCCACCCTTACATCAGTATCAACCATAGTTTTATACTATAAACACTCTATGGTATCAACCAAATACCGCATAAAAACGAATCCATCCAATTCTAAGGGTAATTGCAAAATATGAATTCAATGTTATCGATATTTCATGGATCATCGGTATGATTTCTCATCACAACAATATGCACTTTTTACCCCGAACGAAATTGTATCATGTATGTAAGCAAAACTGTTGTTTGCGTGTTAAGATAAGATTTTAAATATAAATTAATATGATATAGTTGAGTTGTTGGGATAGTATATCAAGGTTTGTTGATGCTTATATGTTTATGAATAGTCTATGGGTAATTGCAAGATATGAATTCAATGTTATTGATATTTCATGGATCATCGGTATGATTTCTCATCACAACAATATTCACTTTTTACCCCGAACGAAATTGTATCATGTATGTAAGCAAAACTGTTGTTTGCGTGTTAAGATAAGATTTTAAATATAAATTAATATGATATACTTGAGTTGTTGGGATAGTATATCAAGGTTTGTTGATGCTTATATGTTTATGAATAGTCTATTCTTCCTGTGCTATGCAGGTGAATAACCATTGCACTACGAGAAACAATGAACTATATGGTACCTGTAGTTTGTAAACCATGGTAAATTCGCTGATGTGTATGGTATCTTGCTTTACACCTGGCTTTAAGCGGTTATCTTTGTTTATCTAAGGCGTCTGCTGCTGTGTAAAGGTGAAGGTCGCTATAGAGTTTATGGCCACAGATCACTAAAGATTTCCCCATTGACCCCAATGTTAATTCTCGTATCTTAGACCGGCTCTAACTTTTTCCCAAATTTTCGTTGGGTAGAACGCTTTCTACCACAGATGGAGCAACATGTGGCAACCACTTGCCCAAAAGCACGTATGAGGTTCTTCATGAAAAACTTGAGATACACAAGCTGGAAGTAGAGATAAGTAAACATGCAATTTCAGGCCCTACATTTCAACCTAACCAACCTCTCAACTCTTGTATCCTTCCGCGTCAAAATTATGAATATTCACCAAAACCTGGCAGAAAATGTATTTTCAAACCCTTTTCTTCGATTCTACACCAAAAAGTCAACAAAAATCGCCATGCAAAAGGGGGAAAAAGGAAAAGGGAGAGGAAGACTAAAAAAAACTTTGGCCCTTGTTTCGTGGGTGACGGCGTAGGAATATTTGGTGATCTGTGTCCTTATAGACTGAAGATAGAAAAGTAGCCTAGGTAAAAAATAAAAAAAAAAGAGAAAAGAAATGAGTTTAAAATCCTACCAGGCTAAAATAGACGGACATGCGCCATGTAGTGTGCTATGAGAGACATTTTCCCGGGCACCGGCACGACGGTCTACACTTATTTCGAATCCCAGCTCCGTTCTTTCATTCGTTCCTTGAGGCTAAACGTCCGCTTTGTAAAGGTGAAGGTAGCTATAGAGTTTATAGACTGAAGATAGAAAAGTAGCCTAGGTGAAAAAAAAAAGAGAAAAGAAATGAGTTAAACATCCTACCAGGCTAAAATAGACGGACATGCGCCATGAAGTGTACTATGAGAGACATTTTCCCGGGCACCGGCACGACGGTCTACTCTTATTTCGAATCCCAGCTCCGTTCTTTCATTCGTTCCTTGAGGCTTAATGACCGCTTCCACCTTGGGTAATATCGCAGATAATGTTTCCTGATAAACTTGCAAGAGGCGCCAAATGATAGGCTCGTCTCACATAGCTAGGAGACGGGTGGGCGATTAGGAGGTCTATTCGATTCCGTTTCTTTTAGATAAAGAAATGAAATGAAATGGAGTTTAACGTCCTACTGTTCTGCTCCTAACCTGGGCTAATGAAGACTGGCATACGCCATACAGTGTGCTATGAGGGAAATTTTGCCCGGACAGCGGCGCTACGGCCTACTCTTATATCGAATTCCAACTGCCAAGGGATCTTTTACGTGCACGCCAATGTGACACGGGACCTCGGTTTTTCGTCCCATCCGAACGACTATACAGCTGTACTTGTCAGGCCCTCCGTCCTGCATCACTGACAAGGGGAAACCACGCCGGAAAATCTGGATGAACTTTCTCGGCCAATGCAGGGATCGAACACCCGACCTCCAGGCTAGCGAGCCAGCGTCTTACCGACTTAGCCACGTGATCCCCTAGGTAAAGACACAATACCTTTTGAGGGGTAGCGTCCAAGTTAAGATTCATCCAAAGGCTTTGCCCCCGGCAATTCCAGTTCTCAAGGGTTCCTTTAAGTACGTACACGTCAACGGGGCCTCGGTTTTGGTCTCATCAGAGCGACTAGACACTGTGCTTTGTCCGGCCCTCTGTCATTCACCACTGACAAGAGAAAACCATTCTGAAAATCCCGCGGAACTTCTCCGCCACTCCTGAGCTCCTAGTTGTGGGCAGTGCCAAATCCAATAGTTAGTGAATTTGAATATTAGGTTAATTTGAGGTAATTGTTAGCAATGTAAGCTGTAAATAACTTCGTTCACAATGAACTTCGCCTTTCCTGTAGTGACTTAAAGGACAATATTAGGGCCAGTCATTATCACATATGTGATAGAACTGGTTAAATACTTTCCAAATATAATTTTAACACAGAGATCATTGCTACGATAGCTGAGTAATACAGGTTTCCTGAATCGGAAGTGGCGAACGCCAAAGAAAAACACGAGTCATCCCTCTATATAACTGACTGATGTGACGAGTGATAACAGATATACGGCCGAATTTGTGTCAATTTCTAGATCCCAAATATTAGCGATTTAGCTCCTTTAAATCTCGCCCTTTTCATAACGCGACAGTATTGACGCAATCACACGACACTTTACTCTGTCGTGTCATCGTGTTAATTTTATCGTAACGTCGAGATGTCGACTTGTCGGCTTAGTCTCTTTCTACAAGTCACAAAAATACAGCTGTACTCATTACATCACATAAGTAGAAGATTAGATAAATATAAATAAGACTCGTGCAAAAGAGATAATAGAAAAACGTTGATTAATTATTTGTTTTCTCAAAATAATGAAACATTTTGCGCCCAAAAGTGAATTATATTTGTTATTATATTCAAAAAATCTAGAATGGGTTACTAAGTTCCAAAATAAATAGATGACACATATTAATTAATCGCACATTTATTTTTTTCAAAAGTATCAAGCAATCAAACTGATTATCAACTATACACTAAGTTTCATCACTCTCTATCAGATAGAATCAAAGTTATCTCCAAATGTTAATCATTGAACTCGGTCGAAACATTCACCCAATGAACATGTACATCAAGTTTAAACATTCTACCTCAATTAAAAGCAGGGTTGTTATGTTCCAAAGTCTCGACCAATCAAATTGCTTATCGCTCTTTAGCCTAAGCAGAAAATTCTCATCATCTAACTTAGTCAAGGTAATGATATAATGATTCTATACTTGGAGTTTCATCACTCTCACTTAATTATAACCAAAGTTATCGTGCCCCAATCATCAACCAATAAGATTGCTTATTTCTGCTTGCCTTAAGCAGACAATGTTTATCATCGAACTCCATCTAATGAACGCCTACACCAAGTTTGAACATTCTACCTCAATTATAAGGAGAGTTATTGTGTTCCAAAGTCTCGACCAATCACATTGTTTATCGCTCTGCTTACCCTGAGCAGAAAATGCTCATTATCGAACTTAGTCAGGGTATTGATGTTCCAAAGCATCAACCAATCAAATTGCTTATCTCTGCTTACCCTAAGCAGAAAATGTTTGAACATTCTAGCTCAATTAGAAAGAGAGTTATTGTGTTCCAAAATGTGTGACGGACAGACAGGCAGACGGACAGAAAGACGGGCCCATTTTAATAGTTCCCTGCTTTCTTCGATAGGCGGGGGACAATAATCTATTTACAGACAGTCGATTGGCAACTTTCTACAGATTCTTGTTTACGGACCAATGATTCATCAACTGACTTGTAACCAATAACAAGAGGTGTTTTCCCGATTATTCCAGTACGATGTTAGACATTCCTAGAATATATTAACTATGACCAATCATCTTGTTTATTTATTTATTTATTGTTTTACGTAATTCGCCATAGGAGGATGGATATTATTACACAGTGTAGGTTGATACGCAGTTATTTCGATTAATACAGATAATATGAATATTTATCTCACTACGTATTCCATCAGTATTTGCTGAAAACGATGGAGTCTGGGTCAATCTATATTTTTTCATATAGCCTGTTGAATTAGTTTTTGTACGTTTGATTGAACTAAGCAAATAAATTGTAAAACAGATTCTTGTTTACGGACCAATGATTCATCAGCTGACTAGTAACCAATAACAAGAGGTGTTTTCCCGATTATTCCAGTACGATGTTAGACATTCCTAGAATATATTAAATATGACCAATCATCTTGTTTATTTATTTATTTTTTTTTACGTAATTCGCCATAGGAGGATGGATATTATTACACAGTGTAGCTTAATATGCAGTTATTTCGATTAATACAGATAATATGAATATTTATCTCACTATTTATTCCATCAGTAATTGCGGAAAACGATGGAGTCTGGGTCAATCTATATTTTTTCATATAGCCTGTTGAATTAGTTTTTGTACGTTTGTTTGAACTAAGCAAATAAATTGTAAAACATAGTGGATTTTGATTGTTAGTGTAAAGTAGAAGTTTTACTATAGAAAACGTGTTTTAAATAACTAAGTCGACAAGCACATTACTCTATTTATTCGTCTTTGAGACTGTCTCTAAAGAGAGTAAATGGTAGATTTTAATTTTATCGTTTACTAATTTGTTCTCAGGCCCGGTGGAGTAGGGGATGGGGGGGGGGGGGGGCTAGTACTTCTTTCTCCAGGTTATTGAACGCAGGGACCGTGACTATTCGATTAAAAACAAAGAGGTCTGATTTTAAAGGACAATATTGGTGTCAGTCATTATCACATATGGGATATAATTCCTTAAACACGTTCCAAATATAATTTTAACACAGAGATCATTGCTACGATAGATGCGTTTTGAAGCTTTCAAGAAAGGGAAGTGAAAACACGAGTTATACTTCTATATAACTAATTGAAGTGACGAGTGCCAACAGATTCACGAGCGAATTTCTGCTCACTAATAATTACTTCGAAGAACAAAAGTTGTTATATATGAGACCATTGGAGGATATCTGACAATTCAAACAAATAATTGACTGTCACCAGATAAGAGAAAAATAGAAAACGTCCGTGCATTACCATGTTTTTATTAAGTATAGAATGAATAAATACAAGGGAATGAACGGGCGGTTTCTATTTTTCTTGTATGCCCTTATCTAGTGACATTCAATTACTTTTTTGAATTATCAAATATCCTCTTATTAGTGAGCAGAAATTCGCCCATGTATCTGATATCACTCGTCACTTCAGTCAGTTACATGTATATAGAAGGATAACTCGTGTTTTCCTTTTGCGTTCGTCACTTCCCTTTCTTGAGAGATTCACAACACATATATCGTAGCAAAGATCTCTGTGTTAAAATTATATATGAGACGTGTTTAACCAGTTTTATCACATATGTGATGATGACTGACACCAATATTGTCCTTTAACATAGACGTGAGACGTCTAGTCTAGAACGTAGACCTTTCCCAGTTAACATTGATGGTTAGATTTACGTAAAGTTTACGTCATTATGGTTAGATTTTGGTTAGCGTCCAATAATGGTAAAATTC